TATTTTTGTTAAATATTTACATACTAAATCAGCTTTTTAGTCATATCTGGTTCTAGTATTACATCACTAGCATTTTTCTGAAGAATGCCTTTTTTCCCAATGTAGACATATTATTTTTCATAATGTCTACAATTGTTTTAGAAGTTGCACGTTATAGTAATAAAATTGAGATTGACACCTTCAATTAACTCTTTTCTGTAAACCGTAATATTTTTACTTGAGAAACATTACCTCTCTACAAGAACTGAGTGAATTCTGTGAAATGGAGAATATTCTCTATTATAATATTTTTGTATTAAAATGTGTAAGCAATCAACGAAAGTATAAACCTTGATACTGTTCTTTTTTTGGCCTCCATTCAGAGTACCTTTCCTTGACAAACATTTCTGGAAGACAAGATTCATCAAATAAATGATCTCCAGATGTGTTTCTTTTGATGTTTCCCTAACTGGGATGCTACAAAATCAAAGGCACTCCTAATTTTGTTCCATTTCATTGAGCATTATAAAAAGTTTTTCCACAAGTGGATATATTCCAAAGAGCAATTATGGAATTTCAGTATTAAACCTTGGATGTGACTTGAGTGTCTATCATTTAATTTATTCACTTTGCTAGGGTTGAGATGTTTCAGTGTTTTCCTTTTTGCAAGTTTTGTTTTCCAATAATTGTAATTCTCCAAAAGCCTCAATAGCTGAAGATTTCTGGTGCTCCTTGAATTTTTTTTTTTTTTATTTTTATTTTTATCCTCACCCGAGGACATTTTTTGATATTTTGTTCAGATAGAGTGAGAGGGAGAGAGAGAGAGAGAAACATCGACGTGAAAGCGACACATCGAGTGGTTGCCACCCACACGACCCCACCAGGGCTGGGGACAAACTGCAACCAAGGTATGTGCCCTTAGCGGGAACCGAACCCGGGTCTCTCCGGACCGCAGGCCGACGCTCTAACCGCTGAGCCAAACCGGTCAGGGCAAATTTTTTTGATTAAAATTTCTAACTGCTCTTGGAAAAAAAAAAGATGACATAATTTTTGTAGGTTGTATGAGTTTGCTTAAACTTTTATGAAGAGTTTGTCTAATTTTTCACAAACTGCAGACATTTTAAAGAAAGGTTTGTTTGGATTTTTTTTTTTTTTTAACACTGAAATGGTTGCTTAGCAACGGCTTCCTGCATTGCATGATGCTGTTATGATTTCCACCTCCTGGAGAAAAACATCAATAAAATTATTTCTTTGCAAATAAAAAATTTTTTTTTCTAACTACTATTGAACAAATACACCCCAAATACACTCATTTTTTAAAAAGTTAAATACCATTGATAGGACACAGATTGATTTAATAAATATTTTCAATTAATGATGGGCAGTTTAGTGTGGCCATGCTAAAATGTTTTTTTGTTTTTTGAAAAATCAACATCAGCTTCATTACAAAAATTTTGTAGTTTAATACTGGGTATATTCAAAATTTGTAAATTTGAACAAATACAGCTTCTATTTCAATTGGTATAATCAGGTTTTTTTAGTGAAATTATGACTTACATTTACACTTTAACCAATTCAAAGTACATTTCTGCTTTATAATCAATTTTAAAATTAGACATCTTAAATTAGTAAAATATTGTTTTTCTGTGGACACAACATTCCACCAAAATTATACAGTATTATCACAAATGTTTTTATAGTTAATGTCTAACTTTAACACTAAACTTATAGGAAGATTCACAATGTCAGGTATTTCATCTTAAATAAGACAAGTTCTAGGCATTGCTTTGATTTCATGAATTAGTTTTAAAAAAAATCTAACCATTTTTGGATTTGATCTTTCTAGGTGAAGCTTTGATATAACTGTTTATAGAAATCCTTCTGTTTTCATTACCAAACACTTTAAAGCTTTTGCTTCACTTTTTGTACATGAACACAAAATCTTGAAATAAAAAACTGGCAAAGTTGTTTTTTTCTTCCCTGGTTGCTTGAGCATCAACCTTCATTGTGAACCACACAGGAAGTTCATGACTGGGAGGCTCATGACCAACAGACTACTTCAGCGGAAACAAATGGTCACTGACGTCCCTCACTCTGGGAAGGCATCAGTACCTATGGCGGGAATTCAGGAAAAACTAGCCAAAAGGTGTAAGACCACAGCAGATGTCACCTTTGTATTTGGATTCAGAACCCATTTTGGTGGTGTCAAACAACTGGCTTCGGCATGATTTATGATTCCTTGGATGACTCAAAGAAAAGTGAACCAAACGTAGACCTATGAGACATGGCCTGTATGAGAAGAAGACTCAAGTAAACAGCACAAGCAACACAAGAACAGGTGGAAGAAAGTCAGGGGGGCTGCAAAGGCAGTGTTGGTGCTGATGAAATTGAGCTGGAGATTGGACAGCAGAGGAATAGAAATTCTCCAGGGACTTGTGCAGATTTTTCATAAGAGGATTAATAAACTAAGAACTTTAATGTGAAAAAAAATTGGCAAAGTGAGTTTAGAAGAACAATCACCAACTGTAAATGTGTGTGAGCACCTCTACAGCTGCATGTAATAAATTGTAAACCTCAAGTACAGGGTCTCAGAATAGCTATTAATTTTGATGTCCATTGTACTGCTCCTTCCGCAGATTTGTGTTTGGGGATTTTTCACTGGGTTATTGACGTCACTTTGTCCCTCCTGGCTGTGGGGTGGCAGATGCTAACATTCTGTGCAATTTCACATTCATCAACTTACTTGAGAACCGGACATTCAGCGCTTAATATTTTACGAAATGCAAACTTCCGTTTTTGAGCTTATTTCAAAATAAAAAAGCATCACCAGATAATAACATAGTCATTGTAGATGTACATCATGCAAGAAGTGACCAAATCACTATGTTTAGAGTGTCCAGATGAGTCACTATAAGCCTCTAAGGCAGCACTCTAGTCCTCTTCCCTGAAAATATTTTGAAGACCCTAACCCACCTCTCCCGCTGACCCACCAGCTGTGCCTTTGCAGTTCTGTACATCCTCGAGGCCTGAGGCACCCCCTCGCTGGTTAATCCAAGGACACAGGGCATTAGAGTGTGCTCTCACCACCACCAGAGACTGGCGGGGTCTGCTGTCCAGGTAGCTGCTGTTTGAATGCATTTTCTTTTGTAAGCAAATGTCCTGCTCTCCTGAAAAGGAAGTAGTAGTTCTGTTGTGTCTGGAAAGGATTGGGGAAAATAGAAATGGGTCATTGCTGGTTATCCTTTTTTAGAGTGACATTTCTGTTTGCTGCCTGGCTTAGCTCAGGCTGCTATCACAAAGTAGCATATGCTGGGTGGCCTGAACATCAGATATTTCTCATGGTTCTAGAGTCTGGAAGTTCAAGACCAAGGTGCTAGTAGATTCGGTATCTGGTGAGAGCCTGCTTCCTGGTTTGCAGATAGCGGTCTTCTTGTTATGGCCCCAGATGGCCTTACTTTAATGTGTGTGTGCGGTGGGGTTGGGGGGTGCAGGTGGCGGTGGCTCTGATTTCTTCCTCTTAGGAAGGCACTAATCCCATTGTGAGGGCTCCACCCTCATGACCTCATCTAAACCTAATTACTTCTACAAAGCCCCGCTTCCAAATATCACCATCTTGGGAATTAGGACTTCAACATATAACTTTTGTGGGGGACAGAAACCTCAGTCCACAGCACGGGACAAGACCATGGGGGAGACTTGGAAATACAAAATAGAGGGCTACTCAGTCAACCCCAGCTTCTTTAAATGAGACTATTAATAGTAATTCTTCATTAAAGTGAAAATATCAAGGCAAATGTTAAACCAAACAGGATGGTGGGACAATAGACCTAAACCAGGACTGCCCAGGGCCAAAAGGAACCCCAGCCATTATTAGAAAAAAATAACTTTACCTGAAAGGAAGTTTTTACACAGGAACACTAGAGGGCGCTTTAGACTGTAAGAATTCTGCTTTAATTTGCACAAAGTAATACATTCAGTACCAAATTTATGTTAATAAATTTAAATGGTGAATAATTTAAAAACCTTTAAAATAACAACAAAATAGTAAATGGTAAATTCATATCAGGTGATTTTGATATTCCAAGAACATGAAAACATTTAATACAAATGTTTTGGTGTGTTTCCACTCCCCCACCCCCACCCCATGCTCAAAGTTACAACCCTATTTTTTACAAATTGAATTTATTGGGGTGACATAAATAAAATGATATAGGTTTAAGGTGTGCAGTTCTATCATACATCATATGTATATTGTATTGTGGGTTTACCACCCTAAATTCTATTTTTATTTTTCATAAAAAAAAAATTTCAGCTGTGCCTTAGGGTTAAAGAGCAGGTTGCAGTTTGCCTCACTAACTGAGCATTTACTTTTTTCTTGGGGGGATGGTGGGGCAGGGAGTGCTATACAGCCAATTAAAACAATTACAGCATTATTGTTGTTGTTCTTTTTGTTTTTAATTGATTTTAGAGAAGGAGGGAGAGAGAGAGAGAGAGAGAAACATCGATGTGAGAGAGACACATCTATCAGTTTCCTCCTGCACGTGTCCCCAACTGGGGATGGAACCCAAAACCTAGGTATGTGCCCTGACTGCGAATCGAACCTGCAACCTTCATGTGCACAGGATGATGCTCTAACCAACTGAGCCGTACTGGCCAGGGCCAGCATTGTTCTTTTGAGATGAACCTAATGATATTGTTCTACACACACGTGGCACCCATTGTTCTTATAAGTGTTGACAAGTAAGAGTGGATTATTAAGACAGATACTCTAGTGTTTAGGGAAATGGTGTCAACTTTGGAAGAAAATGTTTGACCTGACATCTGACATAGAGCCTGCGGTTCTGTCCCCTCCTCTGTGACTTCGGGCATATTTTATCATTGATCTGGGTGTGTTTGTTAATGAAGTGATGGGGTTGAACTAAATGACTGCTAAGTCTTTTTTAAGTCTGAAATTCCCCAATCCTGACTTCTTGAGTTTTATACTTAACTTTGATTAGTTTTCAATGTACATTTGCATATAGGTGTCATGCCTAGAAATTACCTTCAACTCAAATGATGAAGCCTGGCATACTGTGACATCTGGATCTGAAGAAAGTGGAGAGGTAGGTGGTTCCTATCAAGTTATTTAAAGTGGCTTGTTTTGCATTAGAAACGGATAGCTTTGGTCAACTGCTGGAAAATATCACTCCAGCACTGCTGCCCAACCTCAGACTTCCCTTGAAGCAAAAACGATGGTCAAATGTTTATATTTCATGGTAAATCTCAACAACATGTAATTTTATTTAAAAAACATTTTTTTTTAATTGCTGTTAAAGAGAAAGGAAGGGGAAAGGAGAGAGAGAAACATCCATGAGAGAGAAACATCCATGAGAGAGAACATCAATCAGCTGCCTCCTGCAAGCCCCCCCCTGGGGATTGGGCCCATAACCTGGGCATGTGCCCTGACCAGGAATCAGTCAAAATTGGTGCATGGGTCAGCGCTCAACCAGTGAGCCACACCGGCCAGGCAATAAAGATGTAATTTAAAAAGTGTTTATATTTCATTGACTTTCCGGCTAGGATTCAGACAATATAAAATGTGAGAGGCCAAAAAACATGTGAGATTTTAAATCAAGTCTTATTAGTCTAGTATGAAAACAGATGAGAAAAACTTTTGCCAGATACATATAAGCCCCATCTGCCCTCATATAATTGAGGCCAGACTGTTCAGTGATCTGGTGTTTGATTTAATATTGCTGCTACACAGTTTTTTAACTGCTGAAGAATGCTCTGACATTGTTAACTGAGTTTTCCCTATAAAACAAACATATTGTTGAATGGTGTACGCTTTACATGGGAAAATAAAATGTTAGCAACATTCATGTCTGTCGGAAAGAAAATAATTTGGTTGGTGGAATTGTAGAACTCCTGCGATATACACACAGAAGTGTTTCTAAATTTGTATGCTGTTCAGTCATCTTTTGCATGTGTCTGTGGGAGTGTCTGTGTGTGCACCTGTGTGCATGTTTTGCATATCTTGTATCTGTAGGTGTGTCTCTGGGTGTTCATATTTCAAGTGTCCATTCATTACAGTTAGTAACTTTTGGATGATAACTTGTTGTACATCTCGAAAGTTTCTCCACACTTTATAGTTCCCTGTCTGTGATGGTGAAATAAAAATTAAGGAGATCCCAAAGGGAACTTTCCTATCTTGATAATTTCTTCACGGCTCAAAGGTCTGAACTGAGTCTTGGGAGCAGCAAGCAAGTAGAGGAGGAAAGGCCACAGAGGCTAAACAAAAAGGCAGGGTGAGGCGGGGTCCCGATGGGTCTCACCCCAGGGAACTTGGGCAGGGGGGTGCACAATTTGGAAGTCTGCAAGGAGACCACAAGAGGAAGCCTAAGGAGGTCCGTGTCGGGAGGATCCGATCCGTCTGCTATTCCTCAACCCTGTATGGAGTGCCTAGTTTGTGCCAGGGACTACCACTGGTGAAATAAATGTGGAGGTGTCTTCCCTCAAGCATTTTAAAGATTAGCAGGTAAAACTGATGTAGAAATAAACCATGATAAAATCATAAATGCTAAGAGGGGTGCCATGGGTGCCCCAGGAGTTCAGGATATGGGTGGGCAGGAGAAGACCTCACTGAGGATGCAATGTAGGCAGTGTCTTTGAAGGGAGACAAGGAAGGGTTCCCCTGGTGGACAGCACCTCAAGGTGTGCTTAGAGGGAGCATGAACCCCCATCCTTGTGCAGTGTGATTGGCACGGTCATGTTGGGGAAGGCAGAAATGCCTGTAAGAGATGGACGTCTGGTTCTGTTAACACTCCAAGTCTTTGATGAACAGGCTGGCTTGAATTCAAGACAGTGAATTCTGTTTCTGTTTGTTGTTGTGTCTTAGGGATACTTCATTTATTTAAGGAGTGCAATAATCCCTCAGTCACTTAGCATGTCAGAAACCACACTGGAGGAAGAGAGAGATTAAAGGGGTATCAATTTTTTCACTATTGTTTTTTTTTTCACTTTTATTTATTGATTTGAGAGAGAGAGAGAGAGAGAGAGAGACAGAGAGAGAGACAGAGAGAGAGACAGAGAGAGAGAGAAACATTGATTTGTTGTTTGTTGTTCCACTTACTTATGCATTCATTGGTTGATTCTTGTATATGCTCTGACTGGAGACTGAACCCGAAACCTTGGTGTATTGGGATGATGCTCTAACCAACTGAGCTACCTGGCCAGGGCTGCACTGTAGTTTTTAATGACATTATTTTCAAGATTCTCAGTCAAGACTCTATTAGTTGCAAGTGACTGAAAGTCCACTCAAACTAGACTTTGCAAAAAAGGGAACTTGTGGGTTTATATAATTGAGAAGTCAAGGGGGTGGAGACAGGAATATCTGGACCAGAGTTTCAAATGTTACCCCTTATCTCTGTTCCCCTCTGTTTATAGTTTTGGATCCTACAGTTTAAAAAAACAGTCTCTTTCTTGAGATTCCTAACGTGGTTCGGTTAGCATGTGCCAGATGGCTGCCTGGAATTTTGGCCACTGTAGTACAAGTGGATAAAAAACCGTAGAAAGAATTATAAAATAAAAAGTAAAGACACCCCACCCTGGCCGGTTTGGCTCAGCGGTTAGAGTGTCAGCCTGCGGACTGTAGAGTCCTGGGTTCGGTTCCTGCTAAGGGCATGTGCCTTGGTTGCAGTTTGTCCCCAGCCCTGGTTGGGGTCGTGTGGGTGGCAACCACTTGATATGTCCCTTTTACATTGATCTTTCTCTCTCTCTCTTCCTCCCTCTCTCCTTTCCGCTCTGTCTGAGGATAAATGCAAAAATGTCCTTGGATGAGGATAAAAAAAAAAGTAAGTCACCCCATTCAAACAATGTCATGCATCAGCTTGAGCAATGAAGATTGAGGGTGTTCGATGAACTCAGATAACAACAGGAACAATGCTTGACTTTGAGTGCTCAATACGTGTTAGGTATTTTCCTTAAACCTTTTATGTGTAACATTTAATGTTCATACAAATCCTATGAGCTAGACATTATCTCCACCTTGTGGATGAGGACACTGAGGCACTAGGAGTTGAGACTGCCCAGGGTCATGCACCATTGCACAGAAGTTTGTCTTCCATCCTATGCTGTACAACACAGTTACATGGCATAATAACTAGTGAATAATATCTGGTGAATGAATAACTGTTGTATTACAAAGATACTAAGAACATGATAAAGAAAGGAAGAGGGGAAACTCCATATTTTTCCCAGCGGCTAGCTCAGTCATTTGGTGCATCTGCCCAGCTCTCAAGGGTCCAGCAGAGTCCACTCAAGGTGGGGAATGGACTTGCCTGGGTCACAGCAAAGCTTACCTGGAAATAGTGACTGTGGGTTCAAGGCCACCCATGAGTCAACCCTTGGGAGTTTGGCTCAGGGATAGCATAGGAGAGCAAGGGGAACAAGAACGGGGACCACTTCCTGAGAGAACAGGGAAAACGCAAGGAGACATTGCTTGAGCACCCTCCCGGCTCTGTTCTGTGACAGCCGATCAGGAGCCCTCGAGCCTCTCTGTGTGCCTGCTCTGGGAGCCAGACCTCCTTGGCTGGACCCTGACCAGAGAACACAGTCCCACGCTGAAGTGCCAGGAGTAGAATGGCATCAGGGGCCGGGGAGGTGGGGTGGGGGATGCATGTGTGTGGTTGTCTCCCTTTGCTAATTTTTTCCTCTTTTTTTGTTAATCCTCACTCGAGGATTTATGTATTTATTTTGTAGTTCTATTTTTTTATTTTTTTGAACAAAGTTCATACTGTATCCATGGTGGCTGCACCAGTTTCCCGAGGATATTTTTTCCATTATGTTTTTAGAGAGAGAAGAAGGGAGGGAGGGAGAAACACTTATGTGAGAGAGACACATCGATTGGTTGCCTCCCGCACCCCCCCCCTCCAACTCCCACAACCCCCCCAGGATGAAACCTGCAACCCCAGGTACCTGCCCTTGTCGGGAATCAGACCTGTGACCCTTCGGTCCATGGGCTGACGCTCTAACCACTGAGCAACTGGCCAGGGTATTTTGTTTTGTTGTAAGTTTTAAAATTGTGGTTAAATATACACGACATCAAATGAACCATGTGTAAGGGAACAGTTCGGTGACATTAGTACCTTCACAATGCCATGCAGCCACCGCCACCATCTACAGGCAGACCTTGTTTTGTTGCATTTCTCTTTATTGAGCGTCACAGATGCAGCAGTTTTTACAAAGTAAAGGCAAGACCATCCACCAGCAAAAAATTTAAGACTTGCTTTATTGTGGTGGTCTGGAACCAAACCTACAGTATCTCCGAGGTATGCCAGTTGTCTAGAACTTTTCCATCATTTCACATAGAAAGTCCCCATTCCTCCTCTCCCCAGCCCCTGGCAACCTCTAGTCTCGTTCTGTCTCAGTGAACTTGCCTACACTGGGCACCTCATATAAGTGGAATCATACAGTTATTTGTCCTTTTGTAACAAGCTTCTTTCATGTAGCATAATGTGCTCAAGGTTCATCCATGTCGTAGCATGTGTTAGAATTTCATTTCTTTGTTAAAGTTGAAGACGGGAGGAGATGGCATGAGGTGGTCTGGGCTTGCCCTCTGTGGGGGGCTGGGAGAAAGCAGCCCAGAGCTGCGGTCCCCCTGCCCTTGAGGGAGCTCCCAGTCGGCACCTGGCTGCTTCCTTGTCACTTTCCAAGCTAGCCAGTGTTGTGATGGATGGGGCTACAGAGAAACAAACGTCTCACCCCCAACCTAGCCCCAGATTCCTTCTCCGTATTACCTAAAATACAGGGACTAGGAGATTGACTTGGTTTCCCAGCGAGAGCACACGGAGTTGAGAGGGGAAGACCCGTCAGTTGTTCCCACTTTGATGTGGGTTCGTGTCATTGGTTCATTCTCCAGCACTCCTGGGTGAACTAGGCGAGTAGGAATTATGGAGCTGGAGTGCACAGGAGAGTAAGGCTGAAGCTTTGGAGATACATGAGCTTATTCAGCTATCATCTGAGTTCCAGGCACCTGGGGAGGAGGAAGGAGAGAAGAACCTGGAATCCAGAGGAGAGCAAAGGAGCCAGTCCTGCTCGTGCCAGTCTTAACAGGGACTAGGTG